CCACCAATCAAGTGATGGAGCCCAGACAGCTCGACCAATCACATCTAAGGGCTGCTAAACGTGATTATCTATACTTTGAGGAGAGAAGGTGAGTAAAAGTTCAATCAAAGACTGAATATGTAAAAATGTAATAAAAAGCTATGTTTAAATAAAAAAGACCTCCACAGGGCGTCTAAAGGTGAGCATGATGAAGGTACAGTATATCCTTTAAAAGCTACATTTGAATTAAAAAATAATCAAATCATTATTTTGACGGGCATGACACTGGGTTTGTGTTTACATCTACCAGCCAGCAGAGGGCACCATTACGGTTAGCCAACCAGTCCGCTCAGCACAGCGAGAACGACCCTGCGGAAAACAGCAGACTCAACAAGTCTGAGCCCAGAAGATTTCATTATCCTTCTCAGAAGAGGAGCGACCATAAAAAAAACCCAGAGTGATTTTAGGCGAAGCCTACAATAGACTGACCCTAAAAAATAATAACTCGTGTATCGGCAACGAACCTGGCATCCTGACGACTGGAAACCTTGTTTTAGGGTTGCAACTACAACCTCCACACACTAGATGTCGCTTTGGCATTTGTGTTTAGTATTCAACTTTTTAGTTACTTCCTTTTTAAATTTTACTTCCAGTAACTTCACTTAGATGGGATTAATTATTGCAACAATTTGAAGGAGAACTGTTGAAATAAAATAGATACAGAAACTAATATAAAAGCTCAATAAATGAAACACTGAGCCAAAAAAATCTAGTTTTAATGTAAATAACAGAAAGATGAGTGTTCAACATTTTTACCAAATGAAATGTGACATAAAGTAATTTTATTTTTAATAAGTTATCTCATTAGGCCTGTTTAGTTGATCTGGTAAATATTTTTATACATCTTTTATTTTCTTGACTTTTTATTCTTTTCTCTGTTTAATAATTGAAAAAAAAATTCATTTAAAATTATTTCATAGTTTTCTAATTAGTCCAAACATTATAAATATTTTTATTTACTGTTACATTTTCTTTACATTATTATGTATTTTTGTCTTTAGTGTGTTTCTTTGCATTGATTCAGACCAGGTGTGTTGGTGTGCAGGTGTGGCCCTCGAGGACTGAACAGCTCTGCTCTAAACATTCAAAGCTCTGCAACGTTTCTCACCCACTACTGAAGACCTGCAGTTATTTTTAGACACAGATTATTATTTATAGCAGCAGGATGCACGGGAACGCTGCTTCATCTGTTAAAGTAAGCACTTTTTTTAAGTCCAAACATCATTCATCTTGTCAGTTTAATTAATAAGGGACTATTTTCATGACTTTTGAATTTTTAAACAGATGCAGATATAATAAGCAAATCAATAATTCCAAAGATAGAACTCAAAAAGGGAAAGAACAAGTCATGTATATCATTAATTATTATTATTATTATTATTATTGCATTGCTATTAAAGGATTAAAACCACAATAAATACAAAAATGGCCACCCTTTGATCATTTCAGCTACATTCATCCGTCACTAAGACATGTTTTCTACGTTGAATGAATCCAATTTAGATAATTGATTTATCAGCTGCCTTCCGGAGCTTTTTGCTGATTGGTCCTTGCCTTGGCTACTGCTGCCTGAAGCCTTTGAAGCACATCATCACACTCACTGAAGAGTTCAAACTAATTAGAAGTTTTGAAGAGTTTTAAAAGCGCAGCGTCAGCACAAAAACACTTCAAAGGTTAATTTAAGCAGGAAATGTGGGGTTAGGAGCAAAAAGCTGCATTCAAGGCAGTTTGATGGCTTCAAAACAACAGCGTCACAGATTAAAATGATCTTTCAGTTGTGTTCCCAGGCTGGTCGTTTTGTGGAGGCTCATAAAACACAGTCCCAAGAAAAACAGGAGCTGGGGTTTCTTTCTATGTGAGCGATGTTTAATATTTCCAGGAATTTTTTAACCCTCCCACTGTCCTCATGGGTGTGACCCCGCGAGGAAAGTTGATCATTGAGCAGGATTGATGGTTTATCCCTTGAGGTTCACATGACAGGGATGAGGTGGTGCTCACTCCTCACCCCTGCCACATGGACCCAAGGGATAAACCATCAACCCTGCTCAATGATCAACTTTCCTCGCGGGGTCACACCCATTAGGGCAGTGGGAGGGTTAAAAAAATCGTTACAACATGATCAGTTTAGTTCAAAACGCCTGTTAATGTGATTTCTACGACTCGCTTAAGTGTTTTCTTCCTCTCCTTTTCAGATTTTCCTGTGAGGGAAAAGGCCTGCTTCAGATCAGGTGACACACAGATTTCCTGTTGCAGCAAATCTTCACCCCGCCAGTTGTTGTCTGGCTGAGTATCAAGTTTAGGCCCTGCTGAGTCACTACAGCTCCACATTGTTGTTTTCATCCACGTATTTGTAACTAGAGACACCTCAGAGGATTTCCTAATGCACTGAAAGATTTTCCTCTGTCACAGAGACTCATCCTCACACTCGTTTGCCTTGCAAACTCAGGAAAACACTCTGAGACGGGACGGGCAGATCATGTCCAACAGGAGAAACACGATTCCAGGATGGAGCAACGGAGGATCGGACCATTTCAGATCAAAAATAAGAAATGTAGCCTGTTTATTTGTTTTCTATCTCTCGATGATGCACGCAGTTAACCATAAAGGGTAATATCCAATCAGGTGTTTAGAAGCATTAAAGCTCCTAACATAACCGAGTCCATTCGTCTGAGAGGCACGTGAGACCGTGTGCTCCCCAGATCTTCTCTGACAGACTGAGAACAGCAGATCAATGTCTCACAGCGATTTGTGCACAGCCGGTGTATTTGTGGGTGCCGTATGGTGGAACGGATTTTAGAAACGCTGCCTCGCAGCAGCTAAAAGATCGAATCCCGCCGGTGCAGCCTTTCTGCATGTAGTTAGCATGTTTTCCACATGTGTGCATGCCTCTGGGTACTACGTTTCCTACCACAGACCAAAAACATGCATGTCAGTTTAATTGGCAACCCTAATCTGTCATGTCTCAATGAAAAGCCCACGTCTAATTTGTCCATCTTTGTACTTTTTCTGGCAGCTCTGGTGCCAAGCCCACCCAATAAACAAAGAGCTCTGTGATTGGCAAAAGACAAAATTCTTCAGGCCAATGGTAGACCTGCTGAGGCTACATTATCTCCACGTCTGGGTTCTCCAGAATGAACGACCTGTTTACAAAGATTGAATATTATTCTTCAGGATTTTCTGCTAGAGTGTAGACTCCATGGTTCCACCCATGGACGTAATTTTAGGGGGGGGGACATGTCCCCCCTGTCCAAAGTCAAGTTTTGACCCCTGTACTCGTCACCATCCAAAAACAATATTACGGTATGTTAAATTGACACTGGCTGAGCTCTAGGACCAAGCGGAAAACAACCATTTGTGTTGAAGCCTGTTTCCCATTAGAGCATAAGGTAAAGACCCCCCACCCCACTCGGTGTCCCCCCCACTTCTAAAGTGAAAATTACGTTCATGGTTCCACCAATCACATAAAAGCATCCAGATCCTGAAGCGGCCATGGACCATCACACCACCACCCCCGTGTTTGAATGTTCTGCTTTCTGAAATGCAGTTTTACACCAGCTGTCTCACCAGTCCTCAGAAGACGCATTTATTTAATTTTTGTAAATGGAGGATGACCTTTTGGGTCCACCAATGATGGCATGGTGTCTTTTTTATTATTGAATCCTGAAATGTGATCTCAACCAAGTGAAGGGCTTTAGATGATTTCCGGGCTCATTTATTGTATTTCATTAGAACGGAGCATGATGTGTTGCTGCTATTTGAGATCGTTTAGCTGACTTCATGTTTTCAGACGCGTTCTGTTGAGTATTTTACATTGTTTAGTGGTTCTACAGGCCTGGATGTGGCTGTGAAACTCGACACAAACAACAAACAAGTTTAACAAGGACAGTTAATTTTCACAAAGAACCAGACTTTTCCTCTTTAGACATAAAATCATCATTTGAAAACTGTATCTTTGTCTGGAGGTGAACTTTTTTGATGATTTGAAACATCAAAATGTGACTTCACAAACATTTAGTACAAGCATCCATCTGTGCAGCACGAAATTGTGTATGCACAAGCAAAAACCCGTGAGGTCTACCGTCTGCAGGTGGGGCGCAGCTTGACTTTCTGCGGAGTAAAAAGCAGCATTCCACTCAATGCAGTTGATTTAGGAATTCATAGTGCGGACACCAGGCGCAGCAGCTATGCAGAGCAAGGTGGCGGTTGCGTCTTCTGCATCCCAATGAGGAGACGGTAATGTTCTCTAGCTCCACAGATCTACTGTGACCGGCTAACTGCTTCGTAATCTGGAGAGAAACGGTTCATGAATGTGTCCCAACCACTGGTGCCACTTTCCTGCCGTTCACTCTGAAGCCAAAGCTGAAAGGAAGGTTGAATTGCAGCGCTATAAGCAAGACTAATTAGGAGCTAATAATAGCCGAGATAATATTCAAGAGGATAATACCTGAAGGCTTTAAAGGACAAAAGTCTCATAAAAATGTATGTTAATCTTTGCTCTTAGCCAAGCAGCTCATCTCTGTTTCTCTTTTCTTCTCAGAGTGCCAAAGGTTGAAAGGCACAGCCAGATCTGTCACTGAAGTCGACAGTAAAAGCTTTCTAATTCATGCATTAAGCTCAAGCTGCTGCTTTTGAGTTCTTCAAACTAAATCTGCTGCTGCTGCTTCCCTGTCACGTCTCCACATGTCCTGTTACAACAAAGAAGACAAAATTATGGCCAATTTTCCTTCAATTTTCTCTTATTAGAAGACAAACTTGCAATCATACCCTGCAGTAATTTCAAAAAGGGGAATGTGCAGCTGAGGTGAGGAATTTGGTGCAGGATGGGGCTCAGTTCAGCTTCCTCCCATAGTCACACACACACACACACACACACACACACACACCACTGCTGCTCAGCGTCCCTTTAAATCCTTTACACTGCAGTGCTGTTAAATCAACCTCACGCCAGGCAGACTACTCACCTCCCAGCGCAGCTTTCATTACAAAATTCATGATGAAGCAGTTCTGTGTCCTCCTCCTTCAGCGGCCACGTTATCAGAGATGGACCTGCAGCCGGGGGACAGAACATAGAAGCTGTGGCTGCACGAACTTTAGGGGTGTGAGAGTTTGACGGGATGGGAGATCAGGAGGACAAAGATGTGAGGTTCAAATGAAATGAGAAAGTGGCAAAAAAATAAAAATAAATAAATAAAAACCCACAAAATTCTACTCATCACAGAGCTGTTTTAGCACATTTACACTGGTACTATCAATTAACAAAAACCAACCCAATAAAAGAAAGAGCAAACTGCGTTATGGTTTCTACTCGTTCAGGTACATTACATCTCCTGAGCTGTGTTATGTTGAGCCCTCTGCGCCCTCAATTTACAACCGCACTCCCATCTTAACACTCTCAGGCGCAACATAAGTTTTGATAAAAGGACGAACAACTAAGTCCTTCAGGGGTACTTCTGACTTAAAAAATGTCCATGAAATACGTATGTGGAGTAACCAGGTAGGTGGGTTTTAACGTAGCAAATCTGCAACGCCTGCCTCCAGAGGGTTAAGTGGATTTCTGCTGACACTGCCTGACGTTCCGCAATCTATCCTCATATCCGCAAACGAGAGACAGAGGCAAAAAAAGTCAGGGTCAAACATGAGCTACTGGAGACACAGTTTGTCTCCCTGGTCCACAGAGACCATCACTTCCTGCAACACCAGAGCTAAGCATGCCAACACGTAGAGAGTTTGATTTTTGACGATAGACTGCTTTACCATCACTTGCTTCTGAATTCAGATTTGAATTTACATAAGAAATCATGATTCTGTTCTACTCTGAATTTAAAATTCTGCAGCTATGATGGGCTATGATGACCTTGAATGGATCTAAATTTTCAGTGACATTAAAAAAAACTATTTGAGTTAAAAAATGCATGTAGTCCTTCTGCATTTCACGGCACCCCCTGACTTTGCAGTAAAGGCAAATCCATTTTAAACTCGCTGCACTCATTAACAAATCTCCATTTCATCCCCCGAGTTATTTTCATCCCCCCAAAGTTATTTCTGCTCCAACCAGGCATCTTTAATTAATTTCCTGGTTTCCTTCCACTTCACTTCCATCTGCAGCAGGACCCTCTGACTCTCCTCACACGAACCCCTTCAGTAGTAACTCAATGTTCACGGCGCGTCCCTCCGGCTGTGCACCGCTCTTACTTGATATTCCACAGCAGCATCTGCATCTTTAGGTGAATGCGTGTATAGTAGAGATTTGTTTGAAAGTGAATGAATGCATGAGGATCTTTCACAGAGAAGTGCATAAATCCATTACCGTCCTGTCCCATCCAGCATCCACCCCCTCCTCCCTCCATCCCTTCGCACGTCATTTACCTGGTTCTGATCCTCGTCCGAGTCTTTCCAGGAAACCTGTGCCTGTGTTTTAATCAGCCCGCTCCTTCTCCTTCAGAGAGAAGAAACGAAACAGGAATGAATGAATTTGAAAGAAAGGAAGCTGTTTCTCTTTGTGTGTCACTGCACAGATCTCAGTTTGCAGGCATGCCGCTTGTGTCAGAGTCAGGCTGCAGCGAAGAGGGAGGGAGGAGGAAGAGAAGGAGGTGGAGAGTCTATTCCTGCAGGACGAGGAGAGAGCACGCACAAAGAGAAGGAAAGGGAGGGGGAGTACACTACTGCTACATCATACCGACTCAGTTCAGTTTGGCAACGTGAACGGCAACATTCACAAGAAATATATAAAAGATACCAAACGTAAAGGCTCTATGGCTATTATTTTATTTTCCAAAAGGAATGTCTAAATTACAGAGCTGTTCATTTATCAAATCATAGCTCAATCTTCCATTAGCTGAGGGCTGATTTACTGCCTGAGAAAGGTCTGTTATAAAGACATGCTTCTACGTTTGAAGGATTCTAGAGACAATCAAGGACAGAAAATCATCTTGCAGTGCATGCATGTGTTATGTGATGCGAGTTGCTTTCAAAAGCTAAATAATTAAAGGCTGAGCATTCCTTAATGCACACCATCCACCACCTCTCATGCTAAGGTTGGCATCACTGTTTTACCCAGATCTTTAAAATATAATGTAATGGGTTAGGGTTCATGTAATGAATCTCAGACCTAATGCTGTATTTTAGGATTCTGAGCGTTGGGGTGAATTCAAATAGCTTTCAGGTCAATGTTGAAGAGAAAATCGGGAAAACTGACTCGTCACCTGCCAGTTTTGTGTTTTTGAGGTCAGTGGGCTGCGGAAGACATTTAAAATTGTGCTAATTGTAGATTCCAAAAACTACACAGTGGAAATGCAATTTGTGCAGCAGTTCATGAGGTATTATCAGGACACTTTTGCAAGTCAATGCATTCAGATGATCAAAGACAAGGATGAGCAGGTTTGGTGTGCAGGAACTTGACCCAGCCTGGCTCTGAACCAAACCAAACACCTTTGGGATGAATTAGACCCTGAGCCAAGTCTTCTTGTCCTACATCAGCACCTGACCTCACAAATGAATTTCCAGAGACGCTGTGAACAACCCTCCACAAACACAAACCCTGAACCTCGTGGAAAGACTTCCCAGAAGAGCTGAAGCTGTGGTCACTGCAAAGGGTGGGACATCTTCATATTTGGATTAACGCTGACATGCAGTTTAGTGAATTGTTCTCAAAGACTGGCTTGACTTCTACAATTAATGGATCGTGTTTCAACCAATATCTTACAGAGATTAGGAGGAAGTACGAGGAATTAGTCTCTGCAACAACGCCAACTTTTAAAGGTGTGGGACACTCGTTTAATCAATACATTTGCAGTGGTCTCTGAAAGGAATGAATACCTTGTAAGTCGTACTCTGGGGGGGAAAAACAGTGCACCATTTCTAGGAACTAGAGGTGAGCCACATCGCAGCTGAGCTTCAGACGATGTCCTGATATCTGGACATCTTGCCTCGGATTGGATAACAGCAGCATGACAATACCACTAACTTGCAACATTGATGTTTTTCTCTCAGGCTGCGCAGTGGTGCAGTGGTTAGAGCTGGTGCCTTGCAGCAAGAAGGTCCTGGGTTCGCTTCCCGGCCTGGGATCTTTCTACATGGAGTTTGCATGTTCTCCCTGTGCATGCGTGGGTTCTCTCCAGGTACTCCGGCTTCCTCCCACCGTCCACAAACATTAGGTTAACTGGTCTGCCTAAATTGTCCTTAGGTGTGTGTGTGTATGATTGTTTGTCCTGTGTGTCTCTGTGTTGCCCTGCGATGGACTGGCTCTCTGTCCAGGGTGTACCCCGCCTGATTGCCCATTGACCGCTGGAGATAGGCACCAGACCCCCCGCAACCCTACGTGGACAAAGCGGGTTCGGACAACAGATGTATGTTTTTTCTCCTCAAACAACAGCGGCCTGGAGAAGTCCTGCCATGTGCTGAAGTTGCTAATGCTAAAGGTTAGCTTCTATTAGCCGAGACCTCTCTGCTGATTCCTGGATGTTAAAACAACAACCTTTTCTGTCGTGAGTCCAGATGAGTGAGTCCATGAAGGTTAAGCGACAGTGTGACGTAGATCTGTCAGGATTTTCTAATCCTAGAGTTTCAGCGTAGAGATAGGTGTGGAAGACTACTTTTACGTTCAGGCTGCATGAAAATCTCATAGTGGCTGATTCTAATCAGAAATAATAATTTAAAAATAGGTTTTCGGTGTTCCACACCTTCAACATCTGTCAAACCTATTGAGTTAAAGCCCATTTTGTGGTTGGTGATGTGGATTAGCTGCCAACTTTAATTGGACTGATTTCAAAAATGTTTATTTATTTGGCAGACTCTGAAAGCAATGAATGATGTAGTCGTGTAATCTGATGTGTGGAAAGGATCCAACCGGGATTTGAACCAGCAACCTTCTTGCTTCAACACAACAGTGCTATCAACTGTAACACCAATTAAAAGTAGACTTTCTGAGACTTTCATCAATCTGTTCGCTGGTTCATGAGATAATTTGCTAAAACAATATAAACACAAACACAGCATTAATGCCTGCTTTAGTAACTTTGAATTAAAACTCTCCACACCCAGAACTAAATTATGATTTGCAGCAGAATAAGTAAAAGTATCTCACTGTTGAAAAACAAACATCATCAAAACTAGTGCAAAAGAAGCGAAACACCCCAAAGCATGTTGGTGTTTGCACCCAGCAATCCCATCGACCTGAATAGCACATCCACCTGCTCACCTGTTCCCCACCCCACTTATCACTGCTGTGACACAAAGGACAAATAATAAATTTATCACTTGACCTTGTTTCTCATTCTAAACTCTAAAATAAGCCTCTCTGTCCGTCCTTGTGAGTGCCAGCGTGGATCCTGCTTCTCTCGTCTGGGTAGTGACATCTGCACACGTGCTAAAGCAGGAGGCCAGGATGCACCAAGGGTGGAATTGTAAAATCGCATCTATTAATCAAGACGGAGGAGGGTGAGTCCAGTCAGCACACTCAGACACGGGCATCCATCACCTGGTTTGCAACCTAGAAATTCGTAAAACGACAAAAACAGTAGTGGTGCTCTGCTGCCATTACTTTTCTGTTTAATTCACTTAATCCACTTTTTCTTGGTCGAGAACAATTTGCTCTTAATCAAAAACCTTTCATTTTATTTAAGAATGTGTTTTTTTTTTACCCGTGAGTTGTCCTGTAACGTTGCTGTAGCTGAAATTCTGTTCATCACACCTAAACAAGTGAGTGACAACCAAGGGCTGAACGGTCAGAATGGAAACTCTCAGAAAGCCATCATTTGATGCACATCTACATAAAATTAAAAGTCAGATTCCATCCAGTTTATGACAGCCACAGCAGCTAAGCAGTCTTATCATAAAAAAATACAAATGGCTATGACTCAGTTTTTCAGATATTGAGGAAAAAAAATTGGATTTACTGGTGGCTGAGAGTCAATCACTCTATTTACAACAGAAAACTGCATCATATGATATTATGTAAAATCCCTTATTATGGGATTATCTATATAAAACAAAGCAGTTCTCAGCTGATCTGCTTCCAAATCTTTACAGTCTGAAATGAGCACGAAGGATCTGTGACTTCCCTCCTGTGTGCTTTTAGCGATGCCTCTGATGATCTGCTTGGGGATGAAGAATACGTGTGATTCATTTTCCTTCTGTGAAAAGTCTAAATTAACTTGTGACCTAAAAATGGAAATAAATCCCAGTCCTAGTTGACTTATGTTAACATTGAAATCTCAAATATTTGCCTCAGCAGCAGCGGCAGCAGATGTCTTGGAATTTAAACATCAGATTATGACATAAATGTCTTCTCTGCATTGGCCTTCACACATTTAGGTAAGCCAACATTTTCTCTTTTAGCGTGTTAGGTCATATTCCTCCATCTGAAGGGCACTGCGGCCTCTGTAGGCTAGGGGGTGGGGGATATTAGTCCTCTGTCTATCATTCCTGCTGCACTCAGAGGCCCCTGGAGACACTGAAAGTGGGAAAGGAGGAGGTGGAGAGAGTGCAAGGAGGAGAAAGAGGTGGAGGAGTTGCATGTAACTGTGTGTGTGTGTGTGTGTGTGTGTGTGTGTGTGTGTGTGTGTGTGTGTGTGTGTGTTTCTATCAACCTGTAAAGTCTCAGACATAGGGAGGTGTGTGCTGCAGTGCGTAGAGACATCACAACCGACACTCTTGTGTGACTGACTAAAACGCCAGACGGCTGACAGGTTGTCTGAAGACTGGAGTTCCACATGGTCCCGTGGTCTTTATTAACAGTATAACTTATGACCTTAAAGTCAGCTGATTACCTCGCTGACTTTAAGGCTTTTCTGTATGCCACTCAACTCTCAGGGAATTGTTCAGCTCTTCTGTAGAGTTATCGGCAGTGCTTACAGCCTCAAAGCTAACAGCGGTGCAGGTTTCCTTACAGGGTTTGAAAGCCTTTCAGCTACAGCCACTTTATTGTTCTCTTTAATAGTTCTCTTAAACAAGGTCAGCACCACAGTTAACACCACCCAGACTGTTTTAAAATCATTTTGCAAGAAAACTTGCTTGTTGAAAAGTCCCAAGTTCACTTGTTCTGCCACTCACCTCTGCTAACAGAATTGTGATCATGTGTAAGCCAAACAAGAAAAGGACAATGAAACCAAATAAATCTTACATTGAAGAGAAGGTTAAGGGTGTGTGTGTGTGTGTGTGTGTGTGTGTGTGGGGGGGGGGGGGGGGGGGGGAAATAAATTCTTTATGATCATTTCTGATTATAATCAGAGTTTTTCATGCAGGCTGAACATGAAAATAGTCTCCTACACCTATCTCCTGCATTAGCTTCTGATAGAAAATAGATGGTGAAACTCGAGGATTTGAAAAACCTGACAAATCTACGTCACGCTGTCACTTAACCTTCATGGACTCACCCATCTTGACTCGCAACGGGGAAGGCTGTTATTGTTTGAATGCCTAGGAAACAGCAGATAATGTCTCAGCTAGTAGAAGCTAACCATTAGCACTAGCAACCCCACCAATCAGCAGAACTCCTCAAGGCTTGTGTTATTTGTGAAGATAAAACATCAGTGTTGCAAAGTAAGCAAAGCCAGTTGTAGAGTCGTGTTGCTGTCATCCATATGCATGTTGAATGTGAAAATATGTCTTTATGTCTACATGTCTTT